CATAAAGACTTTGCCCTTTAGATCAAGAACACTTCTATAATAAACTTGCTCACTCTCAGATTCGAAGGTGTCATCAAGATAACAATAATTGTCATCGAGATTAGCAATAACTTCAATCATCAGACCTTCATATGCTATCATAGCAATATTCTTACCATTGTCTCGATGTTGAGGATATGGTTGCTCTCGAATGTCTTGAGTTCCCTATTCTTTGAACCTCAATTCATCTGCCTTAACTTTATCTCTAAAAAATTTCCTAAAAGTTCAATACTTCTTTGTCAAAGGCTTCAATGTCTGATGATAAACGCAATACTTGGGGCTCTTACAGTCCTTTTTTGATAAGACTTCCTCGACATATGGTAATTTTAGCTCTCTGTCGGCCACACATTATTTGACCAGGGCTTTTACCTCCTTGATTCCACAACCCCATATTGCTTTCTCTTCTGGCCTCTATGCCCTCCTTCTTGTGACTTCTGGGTATCAAAGGCAGAGGTCGCAGCAATAATAGAACCATGAGATGATTTAAAGCTAGTTTTGTAACTGGCCTTGAATCCGAACTCCTGAGCCTAAGGTGTGCTAATGTTCCAAGCCGCTTCCACTAGTGTTGAGAAGGTAGGTAGCTTGTGATTAACCAAAACAATTTGTACAGGTCAATACCCCCTCTTGACAAATCTGAACCAGGTAACTCTCATCCACGGCTTTATGTCAATCCACAGTCTTGTCCTGAAACCTTTTTGGCGTAGACAAGAATGTTCTCATTTTCTCGTTGTTTTTCCTTACACAAGGTACGTATGGTCACCTTTCTGGCCACTTGAAAATTTTGGCGTGGAATTTGTGGACCATCTCCTTCCAACTTCAGATAGAGTTTGGGGCCAAGTTAACATACTAACTGTATGCTCGGTCAGTAAGGGACTTGGAGAATTCTCTCAGCCAGAGGACATGATTTGAACCATGAATCCCTAAAGTCTCGATGAACCGAACAACATGTTCTTGAGCATTTCCTTGTTTGCCATCGAATTTGATGAACTTCGACACCGTGTATCCCTCTGGGTATGGATGACTCAACATCTCGATAGGGTATGGTGGCTTAACATCTGGATCAAGCAAAGTGGGTAAAATCCTCTTGCCCCGTTCAAAATCGAACATGGCTTGCACATCAACAAGGGTGAGAAATTGTTGAAGGAGAGAACTTGATGGTGATATTCCAGAAACTTAGCTTATAGACCTGAAGACTGAGCCTGAAGCGACTTGGCCATTCGGGTGTTGAGAATTCACCATTGGTGAAGACACATGATGATATTGGCCATTGGCACCTATAGACAAGCCATTTGGTGATGGGACATTGAATTGGGTCCCATAAAGTCCATTGACCGCTGCATTTGTTGCGGCATGGGCATGGCCCGACACTACCTAACCACTATTGTTGTTGTTGTGTTACTGTACGCTACAGGCTAGCTGTGGCCTACTTCTCTTTGGTTGCAGCTTGGCTGTGGTTTACTTCTCCATGGGCTTGATTTTGTACTTCGATTGAAACGACTCCATCTCCAGTTTGATTTCCATTTGGCACCCGTGCAAACATAGAACTCATCACCAACATAGTGTGAGTGAGATTCTGAAGAGTGGTAAGAATCTCGAGTTGGGTATTTTGAAGTCCTTGAATGGTTTCGAGCAAGAATGATTGATCTTGAGCCAAGGTCCTCTTGTCACCACCATTGGAGGATCCTTGTTGGTGAACTTCTTCTTCTTCTCCTGCCATCCTCACCGAGGTTGTGTGGTTTTCGAATCTCGTTGAGACCATTAACCAATCCGCCTCCTCAATGGAGTTGCCAAAATGCATGTAAGGGTCCGAGAACATCGCCGAAAAAGTCAAAGATTGTTGGACAAGTTGCCGGAATCTTCGAAGGCTCGCTAGGAACTTGTTGGAGACCCAAGTTTTTTTCACTGTAATCCACATATTTTCCTCACTACAAACCAAATTTATTTTCAACACAACAGATAAAACCCTTTTTTCCTCCAAGTAAATCAAACTTTGCCTGCTTCATGTTTGATTATTTACTCACTTTACCTCTTAAAATTTATTTCTTCTCATTTTGGCCCTTCATATTTTAATTTTTTTCCAATTTACTTCCAAAGTTAAATTATGTTTAAAATTTGATAGGAAATGACACATTAATAACAAGATGACATAAACATATTTTATTATATATAACTCATACTTCTAACTCAAATCTAAATTTCAATATAGTAATATATTTGTTATGTTACGTGGCAGTTAACGTGGCATTTTTTGTCTAATTTTTAACATAAATTAATTTTAGGAGTAAACTGAGAAAAATTTAAATATAAAAAGCCAAATAAGGAAAAAAAAAAAAAAATAGACAAACATAAAGAGGCATAGTGTAATTTACCCAATTTTCTCCCATAGATCTTGTATTTATCCTCCAACAAGTCAATTAATTCCTATTTCAATGATCGTTGAGGAGCCACCGAAGTTTACCGGTGTGGCGACATCGATGGTTGCATAAGAAAATTTGTACTATTGTGATGAGGGCGTGAGATGAGAAGGTGGCTTGGAAGCTTTGAGCGGATTGACTTGATTTTATAAATAAAAATACAAAACAAAAATAAATAAATAAAACAAATAAAACGGTGTGTTGTTTTGTGGAACAACAGATACAGCGGTACTTACCCCTTCTCCTAACCATTTTAGTACACAAGTTTTTTAATTTTTTTAAAATATTTTTTATTTGATAAAAAATACATCAAATAGTTTAATAGCCGTTTTGAAAATAAAACATTAAGCATGCTAGTAATTAATTTAAAAAAGTTATTAAAAATATGAATTATCTGCATCAATTATTAACCTTTTTTAGATATAACTAAAAAGTCATGCCCCAAAATTAATACCATGTTTGATTTGAGTTTCCCAAACTATTTTTTGATAAAACGTCACAACCTATTGGTCAATCATATTCCCCATTGCTTGTTGGTTTATCAAGAAAAATAGAAACTCCAGAGTTTTTTAACCTAGCCAATCTATCACTCTCCAATGCCCTAGTGCCTTGCACATGTTATTGACGTCTCGTTTAGCAAGTGAATTTTTTAGTCAATATGTTAAAAAGTTATTAAAAAATTTAAAAAATCAATAATTTATACAAAAAAGTCAAAGATACTATTTTCTCTCTATTTTTTGCACATCTTTTCGTAAAAAGTCAAAAAATTATCCCAAATATATTAATTTTTTTTACATCATATTTTAGCTAAAAAATCAAAAAATTATTAAAAAAACATTTCCAAACGAGGCTTGAACGGCAACATGTAACCAATTTCCAACCCCAAACCTAGCACCGTTAATTATATCTACAGAGAAGCTAATGCTTGTGCTGATCTCTTTAGCTAATTAAGGAGTGTTTTTGGCTAAAGGATTGTGTATTCCCTTCTCCTCCTCGTATTTCTTTGCAACTAGTCGCTGATGCTAGAGGGGTTACTTAATCTGGAATATTGTAATCTCACTTTGGTGGTGTTTGGGAAGCAAGTTCCCAAATTTTTTTCTCATTTTTTTCACTAAAAGACAAAGGTTTTGCAAAACCAAAAAAAACACATCCAAACAAAATAGTTACTTAATCTGGAATATTGTAATCTCACTTTATGTTATAATATTTTTTGTTTTACCAAAATATATATATATATATATATATTAATTTGACAAAAATAAATATAAAAAATATTCTATGTCCTTCAAAAACATAAAATTATACAAAAATGATAAGTGCATTTGATTTCTTTTGCTTTTTTCATGAAACTAACTTTCGTATTTTTAGATTTTTTTTTTTTTTTGAAATAAGGCCTATTTTGACAATTAGGAAAAAAAAAGAAGTTTATTGATTTATTTGAATCACATCACTCTATTTTTTTTTATACTTTTTTTAAAAAATACTAATAAGTCAAAAAAAAATCAATTCCTAAAATAGGCCGGCCTCGTTTGGCAATATTATTTTTTAACCTAAAAGTTAGAAAGTCACTAAAAAAATTAAAAAATCAACAATCTATATCAAAAGTTAAAGATTATCTTTTCTCTTTACTTTTTGCAGATCTTTTTGTAAAAATCTAAAAAGACATTCCAAATATATTAATTTTTTAAAATTATATTTTAGTTAAAAAGTTATTAAAAAAATCTGTTTCCAAACGAGTTTATGAAAAACAAACAAAACATGGCTTTTTTCAACTCATAAAAAAACAAAAAAAAGAATATTAAAAAAATTAATTCCCATGCAAGACTTTAATAAATCATTATAAAAAATAAAAGCGTTGTTTGGTTTGTTTTTGAGAAATAAATTTTAGAGAATATTTTTTAAAATTTTGCTTGATTCAATGATTTTGGAAAAAAAAAAATTTAAAATCATTCTCTATCTTCTACACATCAATCAATCACTTTTTCTATTTTCTCTCTTTTTCTCAATCACTTTTTCTCTTACACACATCTACTAAAATACAGCAAAATATCAAATCATTCTAAACTCTCATACTCCAAAATTATTTTCAAAATATACAACAAAATAAATCAAAAAAATTTCTAAACCTTTTTCCGAAAACTTTTTTAAAAAATTTATCCCCTAAAATCAAAGCAAACACACCCAAAAAAAAATTTGAAACAAAAAAAGCCAGCTTGGATATTTCATAATGCTTTTACTAAGGCCAAGTTTGGCATGATCTAAATAATACAAAAAGTCAAGAAGTCACTATCCTATTTAAGTCACATCATCTTATTTAAATCACATCATCTCTCTAGCACATCACATCAAACCCAATCCAAACTCAACCCATATAAACCAATAAATTAAAAAGTACACTTTTTTAGAACATCCCAAACTAACCCTAATTGTGCTCTCTGTCTCCAGTTGGAGGACCAAAAACGTAAAAGTTAGGATAATTTAAGGTAAGATTTTAAATTTTAATAAATTAGTCATTATGGCATGCGTTTGCCCTAATAACTTCACGCCTAGGGTTTCCTTTCTCTGTCCTTGCCTCATTTGTTGCTATATATATGTATATACATTCGTAGCTATTTCTCTCCATCTTCGTTCCACACCCCCGCAAGGTCTACGGTTTTTCACCTGCGCTCTCTCTCTCTCTCTCCTCTCTTCTCTTATCATCTGAGGTACATCACTGTACATCAATTTTTTTCGATTTCGCTTTTATCAAATCTCATATTTCAATTGACTTCAATCGATTTAGATATCTGTATAATCTCGTTTTGATTGAAGAGCTTAGATTTATTGATTTGTTTTATATTTATAGCTGTAGATCGGTCGAGTTCTCTTTTTTTATTTGAATGTGAATTTTGATATGGCGTTGATGTGAAGATTTGATTGAGCTTATCACTTTTATTTGGGGTTTTGTGGAAAAAATTATTTCTGGTGGGCTTGTCGGTTTGACTAGAATATTTTGGGTCTGAAGATTGATTTACCTTCGAAATTTGATCTCTTCATTAAATTTTCGTTTTTATTGTTTTTTTAACTGCAAAACCATCAATATTATATTGGACACGTAAGGTGTATGGCTGAGTTGTTTATATTTGAGATGGGTGTTGTTGTAACAACTCTTGTGATTTCATTTAGTTCCTGACCACACAAAAACCCTGTCTTTCAGTGATTGCTTAGAATCTACAGAAGTTATTTAGAGCTCATTCCCAGCTTTATCTTTGTATTTCATTTATATAAATACAAATATGTTTATGTATTTTACTTAGATTTCTAGACATATGTAGGAGATTTAGGCCATGACCTATTACTATTAGTGATTATTTTTGTTGAAATTATTACTTAAGAACCTTAATCTGGAATTAGGAGCTTTATTGTGTGTGTTTAATATTTTGTTTGTGTTCATATTTTTTCACATGGGTTTGGTGTGGAAAATGATATACAAGCCCACTTTCTAGACCCAATGATGTGTAAGTGAGATTATTGGTTGATTGATCATTGGGCTTGAAGAATGGGTCTAATTTTTGAGTTTGAATAGCACTAATCATTTGGTATTTTGATGTGATCTTGTAACCTTTTGTCCCCATTTTTTTTATGTCAATTTTTTTTGGGTCTAAATTTGGATGAAGCTACTTTTGGTAGTTGTTTATTGATGAATACATGAACAAGGCAACAACAAATATATGGTGCGTCTTTTTTTTACATCTTCAGTATGCTTGCATGTTCTTCTTTCCATTTTTTGAAATTTTTTATCCCACTACCTTTTTATCATTATGGTTTGAATTTAGTGAATGTGGGCTGTATGATCATCCTGAAAAACTCTCATTTTGTGCTGTAATGGGATGAATTAATGATAACAGATTGTGAAAATAATTCAATCCAATAAAATATGTCTGCAATGCAACATTTTACTTGGCATGCTGTTTTATATATGTCTTCTACATAGTAGAAGCCTAGATGGTCGTCAATGTCAATCGCTAAGGGTTACAATAACACATTTGCAATTTCTTGGTTCGTAACTTGTTTGATGAATTTGTATGGTATGAGTCATTTATGGCATCTAGTTGTCAGAATTACGTTTCTGTTTCTTTATGCTGCTTACCAGCATGTTAGTGTTTATTTTTCAGCTATGTTTTGAATTTTGGTTTACATTGAAATTGTTATTACAGAGCTGATTTAGGTTCCATATTGCTGTTAGCCATTGAGGGCTTCATCTTTTCTATAATTTAGCCACTGTTGAGCACTATTGCAGTTTTCGAATTTTATTTTGTTTGAAATCCTTGATGGGCTGATTTTTTTCCTAAATGATATCTAATTTATTTTAAAAAATTGTAAAATTCTTTGTTTATCTCTGATTATGAAATTAATTGTTTCCAGGAAATTGGCAGTATTGCAATATCTGCAGGTAGCGAAAGTGGAGTGTGTTGAGTTTGAAGCTTCTTTTATGTCTGAACGGGGCTCTCTTGTTTTGTTATCAATCGGGTTGCTTGGAGAGTACTGTCCTACATCAAGAAAAAAGAATAGACATTCTCTTGATAAAGTTGGCTGCATGCATCTTGGGCCATTTCTGGACCATAGCACACACTATCAGGGTTGCCAGTTTATGCGGCCTTTTCCATTTGCAGGGAATTCTTCCAATTTTGAAAAAAAAAATCTTGGTAAAAGAATCCACCTGCTCCCCTTCTGATAAAGTCCATTCTAGCATACATAATTTTTTGAAAACAAGATGGCTTTACAAAATATTGGTGCTGGAAACAAGGATGATGCCTTCTATAGGTATAAGATGCCCAGAATGATTACGAAGATTGAAGGTCGTGGGAATGGCATCAAGACCAATGTGGTCAACATGGTTGACATTGCAAAGGCTTTGGGTAGACCTGCTTCCTACACAACCAAGTATTTTGGTTGTGAGCTTGGGGCCCAATCCAAATTTGATGTGAAGACTGGAACATCCCATGTTAATGGTGCCCATGACACTGCCAAACTTGCTGGGCTTCTTGAGAACTTCATCAAGAAATATGTACAATGCTATGGCTGTGGGAATCCTGAAACTGAGATAATCATCTCTAAGGCACAGATGATTAACCTCAAATGTGCTGCTTGTGGGTTTTTGTCAGATGTTGATATGAGGGACAAGCTCACAACGTTTATTATCAAGAACCCTCCTGAGCTGAAGAAGGGATCAAAAGACAAGAAGGCAATGAGGAGGGCTGAAAAAGAGAGGCTCAAGGAAGGGGCAGTGGCAGATGAAGAACAGACGAAACTTAAAAAAGAGGCTGCAAAGAAGAAGGGCTCCTCTGCTGGTTCCAAGGATGTGGTTTCCAAAGCATCCACCAAGAAGAAAATTAATGTCTCTGATGGTGACCATTCTCCTGCGGGCAGCCAAGCAGATGAAAATGAAGCAACAGCATCAGTCGACACTGATGAAGATGATGATGTCCAGTGGCAGACTGACACATCTGCGGAGGCTGCTCGCCTGCGGATTCAGGAACAGCTGAGTGCTGTTACAGCTGGTATGGTGATGCTTTCAACCAATGAAGAGAAGCTGAATTCGGCTAAAAACTCTCCCGAGCGTGAAGAGCAATCCAAGGTTAGCACACATGCGAACGGGGTCAAATCTAGTAATTCTTATGAGAAGCTTGTCGATGAGATTAAGGAATTCCTCAAGAAGGGCTCCTCTGCTAACCAGCTCAAGTCCTTTTTGGGATCTCTTTCTGGAACTCTCCAGGAGACCATGGATGCCCTCTTTAAAGCTCTTTTTGATGGCACTGGAAAGGGATTTTCAAAGGAGGTGACCAAGAAAAAGAACTACCTTGCAGCTGCCACTCAGGAGGAGGGATCACAGCTGCTTTTGCTTCACGCGATTGAGGCTTTCTGTGTGAAAGCAAACCCTGAGGCAGTGAAGGAGGTGGCTTTGGTACTCAAAGTGCTTTATGACAGTGATGTGCTGGAAGAGGTATTCATAGTGGAGTGGTATGGGAAGGGCTTGAGTGGAAACAACAAAGGCTCACAGATCTGGAAGAACGTTAAGCCCTTTATGGAATGGCTCCAGAGTGCTGAGTCTGAATCTGAAGAGGAGTGAATTGGGATATATGCACTTCTGCCCACCCAGGTGGTTTCCAAGCTTTTCCATGATTTGGTTGTGATGTTTTTGACAGTTTGGTACTTCTCTATCTCATCTAGTAGTAAATAAGACTTGTTAATGTCTTGTGATCACGGGGAATAATGCTTGTTGGTATGGGTCAGGTTGTGTAGTTATTATCAGAATGTCTTGCCTAGAAATAAAGCAGAAATGTTTTGTTATGTTTGTTTTCTTGTGTTACTAGGGAGTATATGCTTGTTTCAACTTATTGTGGTGGCTTTCAATGAATTAGTTGAGTTTGTGACATCTACTTGCATAATGGTGAAGTACCTTTTGTTTTGGTTCCATCCTTCCACCCTACCCCTCTCAACCAAACCTCACCTCACCTCCTTTTGAGCCCTCACTTCGGTCTTGGCAAACTTAATCAAAGTATAATCCGACCTGGGAGAGAGATGAGCTTCTCAAGTCTGTGTGTAGCTCCCCTTACAGTGTTTGGTTGGGAGATTAGAGAAGGAATTTGGAAAATAGAAAGAGAAATGTAAGTAATATATGAATAAAATATATTTACATTTAATCTAGTTTTACACATCTTTTTCTTCTCTTTCTCATTTCAAATTTCTTTCCAAATCTCTCAACTAAACACAGCGTTAGTGATCAGAATCGCTCATTTTATAAAACAAAATACAATTAGTTAGTGTATCTATCAATTTCCGATTAAGTTGATATTTTGGATATATGTTTTTCTCTTTGAGACTTGCAAAATGAACGGTTCAGATAACCGTTGTGAGGACCTACACAAAATGGAGTTTCGAGGGCTATGGAGAAGGTGGAGTCTTGAGAGAGGCTGCTTCCTAGTAGAGACCCACAATTTAAAAATCACTTGACGTGTCAAGAAAATTAGGTCTGGAATGGTTGAATTTTTAACAAATCAAAAATTGACATTTAACCTGCCATACTATTATGGGTAAAATTAGTGGAGATTTTTTTATGAGTGTCAATTTTATTCCGAATGCATGTAATGCAAGAATGTTTCATGCCCTGTGTTTATGGATAAAACATTATTTGGGTTGTTTCATGGGAATGCACAAGACCATTAAAGGATGTGAACAAGTCGAAGGGCCTCTGCAATGTAATCAAATGGGTTAAACTGACTTCAGTAAGTGGGGTAATGTTGGGGGAAAGGCTTGTCTCAATTGGAGTGTGTTGTTGGGCCTCCATGGGCTCACCGTGGAGCTCACATCAATAATTTAAATTGTTCAATATATAAAACCCGTCGAATATTTTATCTTTGTAAAAAAATCACACTGATCGGATATCAATAGTCATTGGATCAGATTACATTTGTATTAATAATTTATTTTTAAAATCATACTCACCATTGATATAAATTTGATCTGATCAAATGAATATCGATATCCGATCAATTTGATTTTTTGCAAAGATGAAATACTTGACGAGTTTTATATATTGAACGAGTTAGATCATTGATGTAGACTCTGTGAGTGACGGCTCTACAAAACCCAACAGCACGCTCCAATCAAAGAGAAGCTTGAGCCATGTTGTAATAGAGGAAACCTAGCTGCTAGATTTTGAGACTGGACAGTGATTTTGCGTAGACTTGAATGGGTATTTGTGATTCAGAGCGGTGGTTTTGGTAGTGCTGTTTTCAAGCAGGTAGTTTATAGGGTAAATTATATTATTTAAATTTCACTTTATTTTTTTTATTTTAGATTGAATAATTTAATCTTTAAATTTTAAATTTTGTTTTATTTTTATTTATTTGCTCAAATTAAAAGTTAAAATTAACAATTTTTAAACACTTGTCAATCTCTTATATAAAAAAATAAAAAATAAAAAATAAAAAATTGAAAGTTTAAACTAAAAAACCAAATTAAAATCAGACTTAAAATATAAGGATGAAACTGTAATTTATCCTACTGTTTTTAGTGATAATAGAAAGGGTAATTCTACTTACACCACAATTTGATCTCCTTACACCCATTTTCTCATTACAATCAATCAATTTTTTACTCTCTTCACACTTTTCAATATACTAATTTTACCCCTCTTTAATGCCACCTCTCCTTACACTCATTTTCATCTACTCTCTTTCCTCCACTTTCCTCCCGGTCTCACCTGGCACCCTTTGTTGGGTATACTTTTTTTAGTGGTGTATGTAACTCAATTAATTTATTAAAAGAATTTAATTTAAATTAATTTATTAAAAGAATTTAATTTAATTTGGTGTTGGTTATAATATATTTTTTTTATATTATATTCAACTTTTGAAAGTTTAATGGGTATTTAAAAAATCTGTTTAGTGGCAACTAGGGGTTGCATAAAAAAAATTCAAGAGTCAACAATATTTTTTTTTTGGTATTATTTTGTATTTTCCGAAGAGGTGCAGCGGCCGTGGAAAATTGATACATAGTTTTTGGTAGGTTTTTGGCTACCAATATTGATTCATATTTACTTCAGTGAGAGTGCTTCCTGGGTAATCCAATTTGGTGAATATATATATATATATATATCAAGCTTGCTGTGTGATTCTTGGGTGCATATTCAAGGGCTCTGTTTGTTTGCTGAGTATATTCAAGGGCTCTGTTCGTCCATCTATTTGGTGAAGTCTTTCCTTTTATTTATTTGTGATTATTTGAAATTCACCTAAAATTGGTTTTGTATGACCATTCATGTTTGTTTGTAATTGTTTGAAAACTTTTGATTGATAGTGGAATCGAATTTCGATCCCGTGAATGTACCTCACATTGAGGGAACCATGTAAAAATTCTTTTTCACTATTGATTTAATTTTTCCTCATTAGTTTTTATTTCCATTGATTGATTTACTTGTGAGAAATCATCTATTTTCCCTAACAATTGGTATCAAAGTTTATGGTTTATTTTGATTTATTTATTTGTGTAAATCAATGGAGGGGAATATGGGTCGTATGTCTAACTTCAATGGAAGCAATTGGGTAACTTAAAAAACTAAAATGGAAGACTTATTTGTAAAGATTTGTATGGACTTACAGAGGGTGATAGTGGCAAACCTGAGCATATGAAAAATGATGAATAAAAGAGGCTTAATCGAAAAATTGTTGGTGTTATTCGTCAATGGATTGATAACAGTGTGTTTCATCATGTTGCTACTGAAACTTCAACACATGATTTATGAAAAAAAAATAGAAAGCCTTTATGACAGAAAATCAGCTACAAATAAAGCTTTTCTGTTTTCGAAGTTAGTTAATTTAAAATATAAAAGTGGCAGCCCTATTCCGGAACATTTGAATAAAATAAAGAGTATTGTTAACCAACTTGCTTCTATGAAAATTGTTTTTGATGTTACTTAGTTCCTTGCTTGAAAGTTGGGAGACTTTGGTTGTGACGGTTAGTAGTTTTGGCGCTCGATGGAGTTGTCATAATAAGCCAAGTCACTAGTAGCTTGTTAAATGAAGAAACTAGAAGAAAATTAACGGGTTCTCATTCGGAGGCATTTGTTGTGAGGTACTGAAGTAAAACAAGGGGAAGGAGTAAGACTCCTCATGGTCGTGATCAAAGCCATGACAAATCAAAAGAAAGTTTTTTTTTTAAAGAAAGACATTGAGTACCATTATTGCCATGAGAAAGGGTACACGAAGCGGGAATGCCGAAAACTCAAAAATCGTGACAAAAGTGTAGATAAGAAGCAAGAAGACACAACAGCGGTTACTATCAATGGTGGTAATTTGTGAAGATGATTGTGTCAATTTTGTAACGCCCCAACTTCCAAGCCATTAATAAATCAACTCAACCTCAAATTTAAAATTCTAACTAATTAATAACCTTAAAAATACAAAATTGTCTCCAACATAATTATACAAAGTCTCCAAAATATAACTTATACAAATCTCTAAAAACAATATATAGTGGTGAGCCTAAAAATCTCTAACTCAATAATCCTTTAAATTCTTCAACTCCAACAGCCACTAAATTTGCTCCATACCTAAAATATAAATTAATTCGAGAAGTATACAATACGGCAGGAATAACAAAGTTCAGACAAAGAATAAATTCATAGGGATCCAATAATTACACAAACAATTCAATTTGAAATACCAAGCAATTTATCAAATTGCACAAACAAGTCAACTCGACATATGATAATTTATCCAAGACCAAATACCCGGTCTTACTCAGTACATGACTAGTGACTGGCCTCACCCCCCTCACCCAAGCACAATCGCTTATCCAGGCTATTGGCACAGAGCATATTGGCAAAGTCCACTCGATCCATGTACGGAGCATTTTTATGTCATTTAGCCAGACAAATCAACATTTCCAACACAAAATAACTACACAGAGTTCATCAAATGACTTGAGTAATCAAACGAATCAATAACGAATAATTACATAGAATTTATCCAATTATCACAATCATCAAGAGGAGTACAAATTGAAGGTCATTAAAATAACATTGTTTGTAAAGAGATTTAAAGGAAGCATATTGTATACCATCCGAATTACCTCAAATCAATCTCCTATGTCGCCAACACTCTAGTCTTGATATTTCTCCATGGATCTCCAAAAATAACTCTGATCTTACTTTGATAAAATCTACAACTCTCATCTGCTATATCATCAAGGCAAAACAGAATTTCCAGATTCAAAACTACTTAAAGATTAAAATTAAAAGGACCGTTTCAGATTTTTCCCGAGCCTGGCCTTTCTAAGGTTCGTAGGGAATTTTATCTAGTTTTTAGAACATATTTTAGAAGTTCTATAGACTTCCTAGATTTTTAGTTATTTAATAAACACTCCAGCGCTGTCCAGATTCATCGTCTTTTACGAAAATCGGATTATCTCACAAACCACTCACTCGTTTTCAATGAAACCAATTTTATTTGAAAGATAACTCCTTAAGGAAGATTTTGACATAAAATGGAGGTCCAGAAGAGTTTTATACATTTTTATAGAATTTTTGAAAGTTGACTGTAAAACAATTTCTCTGGCATAATTCTTGAAAATAGAAATTTGGTGAGAAAATAGGTCAACTAGGGGAAAATTTCCACTTCTCTTGTGATGAAAACATGCTAAATAATATGTATTAAACTAAAAAATTTAAGGTGAAGGTGTGCCTTTGAAAATTTTGAGAGATTGATATGGAAAAAGGTAGTCTTATACCAATTAAGAGAAATACAAGAATGGTAGAATCAAGGCTCAACTCCTTTCATTTTTAACACAAAAGTACCATCAAAACACATCCGAAATGAATGTTTAAAACTTCTAAGGGCATGTATTTGAAAGGAAAAATAAGAGAGAGTTGTGTTG